TACAAGTAGTATTACTGTCAGAGTGTGGTATTAAGACTTCTTTGAAGTCAGAAGTGTTGGTGAGGATCAGGAATCACTTTTTATTCTATTAACTCCGATAAAAGTACAGTTGTGTTTGGAACAAATCGTTTGTAATATTAAATTTTATTCTATTAACTCCGATAAAAGTACAGTTGTGTTTGGAACAAATCGTTTGTAATATTAAATTTTATTCTATTAACTTCGATAAAAGTACAATTGTGTTTCTGCATTGTTTGGAACAAATCGTTTGTAATATTAAATTTGTTTCAACTTCAAGAAATAAATTATATGTTTTTTTATAAATCAGACTGAAGTTTCACATTGCTATTTGAGTATTTCTGAATTGTTTATCTGCTTCATGGGACTAAAACCAAAAGGATGTTTAATGCTTTTGTTTCTTACGTGGAATCGGATATTTGTGTGTTGTGTCAGTACAGGTCTATGAGTTAAATATATACGTGCGTGAGACTGTGTAATCGCTCTGTTAATTATGTCTCAGCATCGATAGTGCTCAGTAGCCCAGGAAATCTGAGCGAATGTGTTAATTAATTTTTTCTATACTCTATTTGTTTTGTAATATCATTATCAAATCTGCCAATAAAGGACATGTACAGCTGGGAAAATTTACATATTTGATATCGTGTGACAATAAACAAACTCTTGTAGCCAATGATTATTGGAGAAACTCTTGGAAGAGAAACAACAGAGATAGGTTACAAACAATTTATATTTTCTCAGATCGATAGAGTTGAGATGGTAATTAGTAGAGAATTGATTATTTAATCAGCAGGAATCTTCTAACGATAACTTATCTCAACGGTGATACAGGATATAAAAAACAGACGTCATTCATTAAGCATGTTTCCTTATAGAGAATATCATTCTCATGGTGAGGTTATACATAACCTTATAGATCTATTTACCATGTATGTACAAATCAGATATTATAAAGAACATAAAGATGATCCACTTCCTCCATCTGTTAATTCTAATTCCAGGTAAGATTAAATTGAAACATTGATATATTAATGATGGTATGTTACCTGTTAGGATAGATCAAGATATGATTAATAGATTGTGTTTGATCCGGTTAAAATCTCTAAATAATAATAATATTGTAATAAGTAGAATACTGTACATACATGTACCTGGTTTCAATATAATTGTACTATAGCTCATCCCACTCACCCTTAATAATGGTTGTTATTTCCAATATTATAACAATATTATAGATAAAATATAACTACATGTATATAATGGCTGTTATTTCCAATTTTATGACAATATTAGAAATGTCTATACATATATGTTTAAACAAAATTGTTATGCTCGTCTAATGCAAGATTGTATTTTTTCACGTGACAGATGTTTTCCAATTTTTTTAAAAGTATGATTTAAAGTGATGTGAATATGTACTAAGAAATGACAAATGCATTTTTTTACAACACAGGTGGTTCAACAATTGTTTAATTCCATTTAGTATTGTCAGAGATATGCTAAATTCAAAACTTTTCAAAATTTGGAATTCTCTTCAGAAGATATAAATGGGATATGGTGAAAACATGCCAACAACACATATTTAGATATTGGATAATCAACTTGAGTACATCTTAGCATGGATTAAGCCATGAAAAATTAAATCCAGGGAATTTGCAAATGCTAATGAAAATCAGCATCTTTATTAAAGGAACCAAATCTCTATTCTTTGGCACCTATAATTTCTTTTCTTTTTTTTCATAAACAATATTTTATTCAGGATGTTTATAGTCGCTTCATTACAAATGCCAATTTAAATTTTTATTTTGTCTTAAGTATTGGATATCAGAAGTCCCCCTTCTCACAGTAAGATACCAACATCAATGTTGATTTAAATTTACCAATAAGTCGTGTTTGCAATGTCAAAGACTGGATGATATTGAGTTAAAGACTTGTCTCCTTTAAGTCTAATGTTATTTTACTGTTATTCTGTCAATTCCATCTAAAAAGAGACCGAAATTGGGAAATCAAAATATGACTATATAAAAATTCTAATAAACCAAAACGTGACGCTCTTAAAAAAAATTTGAAAGAATAATCCCAGCGTATATTTCTCTTAGTTGTTGTTGATCTAAATGTTATTACTTAAATTGAATAGAAAATATCATGACCATAGGCGAATACAAGTCTTTGACAATGTAATCACTTTAGAAATTGTCATTGTTATTTATTTGAGGTTAGAAATTGTCATTTATTTAAGTGTAGAAATTGTCATTGGTGTTCAGAATTTGTCATTGGAGTTTAGAAATTGTCATTGGTGTTTGGAAATTGTCATTAGAGTTAAGAAATTGTCATTTATTGGAGATTAGAAATTATCATTTTTTTTGATTTTAAAAATTGTCATTGTTGAGTTTCGAAATTGTCATTGGAGTTTAGAATTTGTCATTGGTGTTTAGAAATTGTCATTTATTGGAGTTTAGAAATTGTTTTTTTCGTTTGAAGTAAGTTCAACTTTTATTATAGCCCATTTCTGGTTGTGCTAACACACTACACAGATGTCAAAACTGAAATTAAATAGACAGAAGTTCAAATTTAGATTAAAATGTAATAAAGCCATTACGGTTTCAAACTTGTGTACTGTCCATTGTGATGCAAAATCCCTTCATGATGTTGCCACATGTAGATACAATCTTGGTACTTTGAACACCGCATTTGGAGACACTTGCTTGCAAAAAAAAAATTGAATGGATGAAGACATTTTAAATCAAGAGTCAATGATTCAATAATAGATCTGGTACTCGTCAAGTAAACTTGTGATCTATATATGAGAATATCATGACCAAACATAAAATGAAAGTATAATACACTCTTTGTATGGACACTCTTATCTTTTTCAATCGCAGCTCATGGCCTAAAGTATTATCTGATTTTCATGAAACCATCATGTTTGAGGGCATTGATTTTTTTTTTAAAATTGTGATTGGATCCCTTTCTTAGAGCTATGGTGATTTTCTTCCGAGATGCCACATAATTACAGGTTCTTTGTGCAGGAATATCTGGTGTGTTATTACAGACTCACAAAAAGAGACTTAAGGATGGGTTGAAATGGGCCAATACATGTGGCTGAATATCATGAAGTGGTCTTTATGAGTACTTCAAGCAGTATTGCATGAAATTGGACGAAAATTGAATTATTGAAAAAACAGATGAAGTAACATTTTATGATGTTGAACGTCCGCGTAATCCACAGATTAAACAATTAAGTTCTTGTCAGTGAAATAATTAAAACAATTGTTCTAAATGGATTTATTCAGTTTATTAATTTTTTACGAGCAAACATTTTAATTTAGTGAAATATCGTTTCATGTACATATTCTCATAAAATATCTATCTGGTATATCAACATATTCTCATAAAATATCTACTTGGTACATCAACATATTCTCATAAAACATCTATCTGGTATATCAACATATACTCATTAAACATCTATCTGGTATATCAACATATTCTCATAAAATATCTACCTTGTACATCAACATATTCTCACAAAACAACTATCTGGTACATCAACATATTCTCATAAAACAACTATCTGGTACATCAACATATTCTCATAAAACATCTATCGGGTACATCAACATATTCTCATAAAACATCCATATATATCTGGTACATCAACATACTCTCATAAAACATCTGTCTGGTACATATTCTCACAAAACATCTATATATATCTGGTACATCAACATATTCTCATAAAACATCCATATATATCTGGTACATCAACATATTCTCATAAAACATCTATCTGGTACATATACTCATAAAACATCTATCTGGTACATATTCTCATAAAACCTAAGCGCAAGCGAATTATGTAAATAAAATTAAACCATATGTTTGTCCCGAAATGACCTAGTTTGTGTCGAGTGGACGTTAAACCTCATTTCTTTCTCTCTCTTTCTCATAAAACATCTATCTGGTACATATACTCATTAAACATCTATCTGGTACATCAACATATTCTCATAAAACATCTATCTGGTATATCAACATATTGTCATAAAACATCTATCTATATCTGGTACATCAACATATTCTCACAAAACATCTTTTTGGTACATATTCTCAACAAACATATGTATACATAAACAATGATAAAGGAAAAATAAAAATGGATCATTAAATTTAAATTTGCAGCGATGATGGAAAATTAACATGTTATTTAATATGAAGATCTATCTGTGAAAGATTTTTATTTGATCGAAGAGATAAAGATTTGACAACTGTGAAATCTACTGATGAATCAAACATTAATATTCTACTTATTTCTGTCTGATTAAAACTGATGACAGCGATATTTGCATTTTCTTTTTAAACTTCAATCAAAGAATATTCATACTTGGTTTGGTATGAGAATCAGAATCTCAGAACTTGTTTGCAATATGAATTAAAATATCATATTTTATTTAGTCTGGCTTTAGTTTTCCGCTGGTCGTCATTTATTAACATGAGAAAAAGAGTAAGATCCCACTTGTAGTTTGATTTGGTCAGATACTTCAGTATGTTACTGTTATTATTGGCCAAAATTCGTCTTGGATTTAGTTTAGAGTCTGTATTTAACCACAATCTTAGTTTTACTAAAAAAAGGAAAAAATTAGCATTCAAATAGGTCTAGTTAATCAAGATATAGCAATTTTGAGTTGATATAATGTTTCCTGTTTCTATACCCGCATTTGTATTTGTTCGTAAAAATAATGTCTTAAATCTTTTCCATAAAAGGCATTCCATTTTATACCAGTTGTCTTTTAATTAAAATGTAATATAATATTGAAATAAAACTGTTTTTATATTTAATATCTTAATGGGCTATCTTGTTTGTCGTCTCTATTATACTTTTTGTTTGATGAACATGTGGAAAACATTCATTACTGGGTTAATTAATTTCCTTTTGCTTTTACAATATTTTAGTTAATTATCTCTTGCTGTTATATTTTCAGAGATAATAATAATGAAAAAAAGGGAGATAATGTACAGAAGATCCAACGTCAGGAAGAAATGCGTAGAGTAAGAGAAGAAATAGAGAGACAGCAGGAACAAGAATATGCTCAGAAAGAGCAACAACAAGGTAACTCCCTTTTTTGACAATTGCCACCTTCACGGTTGTTATTGTTATATGAAAATGTACTGTGACGTTTCAGATCTTATTGTAAAAAGGGAGTGATCGCTCACTGTCATTTAAATCTTACCTGATTTTAAAAATAGGAGAAGAGTCATAATGCATTCAATTGAGTATATACACTCTTTATATGTCACAGCACTTTTTAAACTTGACAAGTGTGAAGATAAATGTTTGTGATATGTTCCTGTTGTGTATCCACAACTTTTGTTTTTCAAATTTTTATCAACTTATTCCATGAATTTACTTTGACCATTAACCTGTTAAAGATAAAGAACCTAAAAACTATTCCTTATTTATTTTAAACCTATCAGCATAAAAGATATATATTGCTGCATTGGTGGAGGTCCTTATCTGTTAACCATTGATATGAGAATGAAACTACCTGGAAATTAATTTCTTTTTCTAACATTTTGATATCTTAGATATTCTCTGTGTGTGTGTGTAAGAATTTTATTTTATGAATTTAAAGTCTTTGTTTTTTTGAGTTGTGTTATAAATTTACTTCTCAATTTCACCGTTAGGACCGAACTATACACTTGAACATCAAACTAGCTATGTTTTAAAACTAGTTTTTGATCTTTTGAGCCTTTTTTGACCCTTAATTTTATTTTTCCCCATTGATAAAAAAATTACAAGAATAATGATATTTTCGTGATTTGATAAATGATCTCATTATCCTTAAAGGAATATATCTTTAAAGCATTTATTTAGTTATTTGATTAAAACCCTAACCCCTGTACTTTAATTTATTACTGGTAAATAGTTTATGAGATGGAAGATGAACAAGAAAAATTGATGAACAATCAATTTACAAGAAATGATGGAAAAGTTTACCAATCCCCTAAAGGTAATTCAACTGTCCAACATGAGTTTTAATATGAATGCCTTCAAAGTTGTTGTTTTTAGCCTCTCATGTACATGTTAACATATGGGCTTGGGTTGGTACTACAGTGATCTGATGATAATAAAGATACAGTATGATTTATTAATTTATCAGTATATTATGACTTGAAGTTGAACAAATATTATAAATTAATACAAGAGATACATGTAGTAGTCCATAAAACTTGACGTGAAACTGTTTACTGAAAACTTCCTGTTGTAGAAAATTTCTCCTTAATCAGTGACTAACATTAGTACAGAATTGGCAAGTTGTTTTCATTCGTGTTTTCACTAGAATATTTAATTTTACAATACTTATTATTACAAGTCTCATTCAGTACCGTGGCACAACAACAATCAAATCAAACCCCAAAAGGCATTGATTCAAGTGCTGTCATTACTGAAATTGTCATTGAAATGACCTCAGTTTCATGGATTGAATACGGCCACTTTGAGATGCTAAGGGCTAGATGTTCTATATTAAGTTCATTCAGAACGTGATAAGAAATATAATCATTCAGGAACATGTACAGAGATGAAAAAAAACAACATCTTTCCTTTTGGCATGACTGAATAATTCTTTTCTACTAATTATTGACTTTTTATATATGATTGAATTTGTATTGCATTTTATTTTAACAGTCATGCGTGCAATGGGTAATATATTTCTGTAATAAGTGATATTGTAAAACCATATTATAGAATAGATTGTATTCTATATTTCTTGTAGTTCCCGGCTAACCTTTGCGATATTCTCTCAAGTTGGATTCATATTGTAACATTAGATTTATAGACCCCTCGACTTCTAAGTTTTAGTGTTAGTAACTGTTGTCCATCAGAATCCTGTTTTTGACAAGAAATAATGTGTTAAATTCATAAATAATTTTATAATTGTTTATGTTTTTTTTTTTACTTTTCCTGTAAATTGTTAAATATTCTCATCCCAGTCATTTGTCATTTTGGTCTATAATCGAAACCATGTTCCTCATCACACATAGATACTCATTATTTATGAACAAAGCAAAGGCTTCTCACTACTAAATTTTTCCAGCTGGACATTTTAACATTTGTTGCAAATATGACATTCACATTTCAATTAATGATGCATTATGTAAGATTTAGATAAAGAGCTGGCCGTTTTTGCTATAATAGTTTAAAAACAGATAATGCACAATGAATATAATATTGAAAACTTTATTAAAATGACTTTATTCTAAGCGACATTGTCTGTGTTTAAAGTTGTTGCATATTGTTTATTATTGTAGCAATGGTACTTGACAATTGAGACTGATTTTAATTATCCATAATTAAATTGCGATCATGTTTCAATCCATTTAAATCTTGGCTATTCGATGTTCTAAAAAGTTGATTATAGGCTTGTCATGTGAATAAATGTTTAAATGATATTTTATATAACATTTGAAACCAAAATAAAAACCTGCAATAGGCAGATTTAGTTCTTACATAAGGCATCGTTAATTTCAAAATCTGTTATAAAAATATGAATGAATTAAAAACAATCCAACTCATTGTTTCCAAAATAAAAACAACTGATTGAAATGCATTGTCCTCATTTTCAATTAATTTAATATAGTACATGAAATTAGCTTAAATATGACATTTCTGGGAAGGACAAAAACGTATTGATTGATTTCTCAACAAGACAATTTTTGATCCAAGTAAGACATTTGACAGGTAAAATAATGTACTGAGAGCCCTTTAAGGGGGAAGGGCTACCCAAAAAAATTTGTTCTGAAATGTTAAAGCTATTGAATTGAAAATGGTACAAGAAGTTAGGAAATGTAATAAAGAAGGGAAAAGTAACTTTAAAAAATGTTGTTGCCAGGGTAACTCATTTTTTGGGGGAAAATTATGAAAAGCGTAGGTACACTATATCTTTGTAACTAATTAAGATATCGTCACCAAATTTGCAGGATATATAAACAAATATCTAACCGTGGATCAGACAGAAAGCAATTTTAATTATCATTAATATTTGAAAAGTTATCAAAATATTTCTCAAAAGACAAAATATTGTGATGAGGCAAATGTTTTAAACACCATTTTCAAAGAAACTATGAAAATTATAGAGAAAAACTCTTGTCTGATTTTAGGGTTATCATTAAAGAATAAGCAGTCTGAAAATGAGACATTTTTCAAAAAAAATGTGTTCCTCTAGCAACAATTTTTAAAAAAAAAATTTTTAATGTTAGTTTTGTCTTGTTTATTACATTTCCTAGCGGCAATACTATATACTGGAAAACACTGGAAAACAACCGGAATACACCATTTTATACTGAATACCAGAAAATCCGGAAAACACACTAAATACCGGAAAATACCTTAAATAGGTAACCCGGAGACTGGCACCCTAAATAAGTAACCGGGAGCCTGGTCCTCTGTGTGCCTGAGTTAGGGTTAGGGTTAGTTTCCGGTTTATAGTATAGCCCTTCTCTGGGTTACCTATTTAGGGTGGTTTCCGGTATTTAGTGTGTTTTCCGGTATTTAGTGTTTTTCTGGTGTTTTCCAGTATTCAGTATAACATGGTGTTTTACGGTAGTTTGCCAATATTTTCCGGTTGTTTTCCGGTGTTTTTCAGTGTTTTCCGGTATATAGTATAGCCCATTTCTTAACTACTTGTGTCATTTTCAATTCATAACTTTAAAATTTCAGAACACATTTTTCGGGTAGCCTCACCCCTTAATCAACAATACCCAATACTGACGACATGTTCATTTCATACATCATACATTTATAGTCACTTCATCTAATTATTTGTTGTAACAGTTCTTGAGTAGACAAAGGACCAAGTATGTGGGTTATATTGCCGTTAATAAACAGGAAAAAATAATTAAATGATGATAACTTTAATGGAAAAATAGATTGAATGTCATGAAACAAGAAAAACAGTTGCCACTAGAGGCCAGTTTACATTTTAAAAAAACCTTGTTAATAACACATTAAGGAAAAGTTAATCAATAACAAGTTTAACGGTTTTGTGAACAATAAATTATAATCACACATTCTGCCAATGGGAAGAAATGGAAAGATAAACCTTGTTTTTCTCACCATCCCTTATTTCACTTCAAACTCTTCACGTTCTTATTTTACATGTAGTTAGTCATTATTGCATGATTATTGCATAGCTTCTCTGAAAAAAAAGTTAATATTTTGCTAAAAAATGAAACCATTTTTTGTTACAAGCATGGTAATTTCTACTGCATTAAAAGCTTTGAGTGACATTTAAAAAGTAGATATATTTTTTTGGGTTGCTTTGAACTTTGAAGTGTGTTTGATAAATTTTAAATCGATAAATTAAATCTCCAATATTGCAATATGGGTCAGTGTTCTGTATGCTTAGCACAGCATGAAGATATTTTCATGAAAGTTTTTTTTTTCGTCACTGCTTTGATTATTATTGATATAATGCTTTCTAAAGGCTACCCAAATCCAATCAGTTCCTTTGCTAAATCAAAAAATAGTTTGGATTTATTCTGCTTCATTATGTGTCCCACATGAATACATTTAATATCAGTTCTTTTATTATTACCAAGCATGCACATTGAAAACTCGCAACTAATTCACTCCTATGCATTTGCCATTTACACTGTGTATGTAAGAAGATTCTTTCACAAAAAAAACACCCCCCCCCCTCCAAAAAAAAAAACGGAACAGTGCAAGACACTTTGCCATCTTTCTACAAATTTAACTTCTAAGTTCTAAACAAAAGACATCTAAAACCTATTTTGTGGAATAGATTTTGATTTTTAATCTGCCTGGATTTAAAACTAAAGATAAAAGAAAAGTAATGATCTGGAATATATATGTAGAGTAATATTATTAAAGAATTGGTGTTGGATATCAATTTATCTTGATTACGATTTCTTTTTCTGTCAGTGAGAGGTGCCATAAGAAATAATTATGGTATTGTTTTTTCCAAAAAATCAATAAAAACTACAATAAATAATTCCTTTGGTGGGGGAAAATTCAAGCAGACTTATCGATCAGTTAGTTTTTCAATTTGCAATTCTTTTTTTTTCTCACTTCGTAAAAAGTATTATGTAATAAAAATTGTATAGATCTCATCTTTGGTGTTGCTGTTGCATAAAATATTTTATAAAAGGGTTAGTATTTTTTACAAATGCTTTAAAAATTACCAAAGGCACCTTGTGATGCTGTTCATTGTGGATCTTTTCTTTATACTTTTTTGCCATTCCTTAACTTGATTACTTTGCTTGTTTCCAAATATCCATGACTCTCAAGAATCAGTCGATATGCATTGCACATTTCTTTATAATAATCTGTGAATATTCCAGTAACTTTCTTGCCAATTTATGGTGTTCTAAAATAAGGGCCAATATAGCTGTTTGGTTAGATATTGAAGAGGGATATTAAAATGAGTTGCATGAAATTTGTTGTTTCACAGCAGCATGCTATTATTTTAACCAGGAATTTCAGTTTTTGGTCAGATTTTATGGGTGGATGGATGATACCACCAATAAGTTAAAATCTTATAAAAACCTGGGGCCTGTTTCACAAAATTTTAACTAAAGTAAAATCCAAATTTTAGTAATTTGATTGGATAATATTAGATTGATTTTAGTGCTTAGCCAATCAAAATTGAAGTATCTACTAAAATTGGATTTTATCTTTAGTTAAAATTTCGAGAAACTGGGCCCTGGTCAATTGGATATGTTCTTAGTGGTGATACTTGTTAAGAGAAAATTATTTTAAGTTATAGGAAAAGTGAATTGAGAGGGTTTTACTAAAAGTTTAGGAATGTCTGCTCGAGTGACGTCAAAGGTTGCATATAGAGATTGTCTGATTTTTCAGGCTAGTGAGCACTTGATGTATATGTTGATAAACTAGATGGTGAGCACCCATTGCTACATGTAGGTACTGCGTCGGCCAAGTCGCGTGTCACAAACATGACCTCTTTTGATATATTTTTTTATAGCTGGGGTATTCCCTTGCAAATACAATGTTTTGAGAGGGATTTTAAGCAAAATTTTGATGGATTAATTAGTTTGAGTAGGTTTTTAGTCCAAATATATCATCAAATCACCCAGTTTGTACGTGGGAATATATCTTTAATTACTAATCTTGATCAGTACATGAGTATATTGCAATGGAAAACAAGAAATCTAACTATTGAATGGTACCATTTAGCAGCCGCCATGGGTAGCAAGTACATGTTGCTCTTTTCATGCCATAGCTGGCAATACAAATCAGTTTTATTTAGGTCACCCAGAAGGAGTGGTTGACTGCTACTACAAGCGCAACAAGGCTGTATCTCATTTCTATTTTAGAAGCTATGTATTATCTCATTGCTTATCGCTTTCATCACTTATGACCTTTTCTTTGATTCAACTTTGATATAACTTATTTATTTAGTTGATTACGATTATGGAATTTCACAATAATTTTATGTCACATTTATCCTGCTATAAGGCTAATCACAATAATTTCATGTAGCAGAGTTTGCACTGACATCATATATCCAGGATTCTACTTGACATCTGCCATCTTATGAGTCAAACCTATGGTACTAGTTTCTAGACAAAAGTAAATAATCTGTTAGATGTGAACCGCTCAAACAAGAAGTGCCATCAGGTTTTCTATAAACTGCCTTATGTCTTACAATTGCTTCTAAGCTTATCTCTTACCAGAGCAATGATTTGGAGATACAGTACATCTCTTGAGGCGTTGTCTTTTCAAATAATTAACAAATTACCTCCTTATAAAATCAGAGGGTCCATAATCAGAGTAATCAGGTCTGTCAGATCAAAAAAATAATGTTTTGATTCCCTTTTACAAAATATATATGAAAAGACATCAAATGATCAAAGGTAGATAATCGGCCATTGATTGACCTTTTTCTGTTTATGTGACTAAAATAAATCTCAATCATCTGCTATCATTTGTTTTACATTTGCTATTTATATAGTATTGATCAAGTTTTTAATATTCTCTATAACAAAGTCAATTGTTGATTTTAATAACGACTTATTTCTTTTAAGTTTAAAATAGCTAAGTTGAAACATTTAACTTAATCAAAAAGAGGACATAATATATAAGGTTGTTGACATCTATGTTAACCTTATTCTGAAGCATGAAAAACTGTGACTTAATATAATCTTCATTTACAGTATGCTTATCACTGACGGCCACAATTATTCCCAATTTTGCATGAAAATTATTTTATATCTTGATTAATAATAAAATAGGACAATTTCTTCTATGATGTCTATTGATAGTATTGCAAGATTAAGGTTGCAAAAGTCGATTGATATGAGATAAAAGCTGTTAGATTGTGTTAATTTTCAGTTGTAACCAACACCATATGGCGTTATCTAATATTTTTTCTATATTCTGTTTACATGCAATGCAATAAGCTTATTTATTCCCTGCTGCTTTATATTAGTTTGTATGTTATTGTGTTTGTAATGTTGGTGTATACCTCATGGGAAAAATGGGAAATCAAAAAATTATTTTACAAAAATTAAAAACACAGCTAGTTCATTTCACACCAGACCAGAGAATTGTTTGCGTTGCATTAATTAAAGAGCAAAATAACTAATTATACCTGGTAATATGCATGATTTGAATGCACAATCTATTAAAACATTCACTATAAAAGACGCAAGGACAATGTAACACTAATCTGTATTTAACAGTAGCCATGATTTAGAAGCATAATATCATTTACACACACACCATGTTCATTGCTCTGATATCTGTTTTTTGAGATAAGGAAATCGAATGATAGAAGTGTACGAATATATGCCATATAAGCCGGTATTCAATGTTGAGGAAATAAATCGGGCAATTTTGAAAAATTTGACAGACAATATTATGCTGTTGTGTTCAGCATATAAATGCAAGAATTATTGGATCAAAAAATAATTGTGGCCCATCTTCTATCCACTTCTACATGTATATTTCGTATATTACCGATTACATAGAAACGTTTAAATATTAAAAACTACTGCCCTGATAAACTGACATTGGGATCTTAAGATATGTACAAGATGACAAAGTGCCATGCTCTGTAATCTTATTTCGTATAATGGATAAGACAATAACACATGCCATTTTCAAATTGATATTTAATACCAGTACAATTTAAACAAAAAATCTGATACACAATATAATGTACCACAAAAATATATCGATGTATGCTGAACTTTATACATATTTATATGTAATATAGACATGTATGGTACATGTAGTGTGTCACACACCATTTAAAGATATTAAGATATTAATACATTACCGGTACATTACATTGATCAATTACATGTACGGGTAATTGACCAAGAAAGCTGAATAATATAATTTGTAACTATTGTCACAAATGATTTATCAGACATAAAATTTGTGTGAGAACAGGGCCTTTTAGGGCAGCTTAAGTTGGGTACAGACGAGCATATTTTTCGCTGATCGCGCCGATTTTTAAAATTGCTCAAAAAAATTGCCCGTGTGCCCCTTCTTGGTGACGACGATTCTGCTCGGCGAACCTTCGACCTGATAAATCGCTCATATCTAGCATGTTAGAAATTTTCGGCTGAATATTTTTCGTCGGTGATCCAATTCGTGAACCATTTTTATTAGCCAATCGGAGACATGATTGATATCACATGATCTCAAAATATCTGCCTCCACGGCCGAAGCGTTGAATCTAACTCCTGTACCACTAGTTGCGATTTGTCCAACGAGCCCCTCTAGGTATTCTGCGTTTTGTTTTTATCAAATAAATAGCAAACTACAACAGCAATCTTACGATTTCAGCTATTCGCCATTTAAAACAAGTCACATGATCGACGTAATTTACTCGCAGAATGGCATGCACTCTCGAGATGATCGCTACATGTGCCCATTTGTAATTGGCTGTAAAAAATCATTGGTGAATTTTAATCGGCGCGATCAGACGAAAAAATACGCTCGTCTGCCCTTAGCATTAGAGAGTTATCTCTGAAAAAGTATATATACCTTTGAAATGTTTATTAATTTTGTCCAGACAAAAACAGAATTCTTTAAAAGGAAAACTGTTCGTTTATATCCAAAATATATTAAGCTTTACATACATACATAGGAAAATATAAAAACGACTTTCAATTGTCTTTAGGGGCAAATCTAGTTTCTTATTCATTGTGCTTTGTAAGTGAAAAAGAAAGGTAGAATTATTGTAGTAGCAAACAGTGTTGTTCAGTGAATTTATATTGTATTTCTTTTTTAATTTCTAGCTATATAGAAAGAATTAAATTTTAATTCTTTTCATAATTTAATAATTTTGGTGTAAGTTGTTGCAGATATTAGTAGATATTGATGTATCGATCTTATTAAACAGAAGAATATGTATTTTATTATGGTAATTTAACAGCTGTGAGTCAACTTGGAATAAATGTAGCAGTAATCTAGATTGGAAAGGTTTTGCTGACGTGAATTAGGAATCAAATAATTCTAGATAAACGATGATTTGGAATTTGATATATTTATATCCTTTTATTTTATCTTCTGGAATGAATGCATTAAATTTTCTTGAATATCTCGACTGTCTTTATTAATACATTTATTAATTAGATTTTCCTCCATTTACAAAACCTTTTCAATATATCTAGTTCTATTAAATAAAATTTTATTTGCATTTTGCTTAGTAAGCATTTTTGATCTATTAGAATTAATCGTGTAATTTTCCAATTTTTCTCCTGCATGTTGTGGATTTGTTTATGCATGATTTTTCGTTTGTAGGTTACGAGTCTGATGATGAACATGAAGAGCTTGAAGGAAAGCGCTACACACGGCGTATTAAAGGCAAAAAATATGCACCACTCGAGAAGGAAGATTCATTAGAAAATGGCGCTTATAGTAACAATATGGATTCTAGTCACAATTCCACAAGTAAAATAACTAATACAAATTCTCACTCAACTAGCTCTCAAAAGTTGAGGCACGATTCTGAATCTCACTGTTCTTCAGAAGAGTATTGCAGTGATCGAGAGCCCTTATCTCGTACCACTTATGTAACGGGGATGCCTACAGGTATATGTTTAAAATTTCAACATTTATAATTCAACACGATAACAAGGCTACATTAGATTTTATAATTGCGTAGTGTTGATTTTTTTTTTTTAAATTAAGATGTTGTGAAAAGTAGATTGATTTTTTTTGTATTGGTATTAGTAAATGTAGTTATAGGTGAAAATTTGCTTTTTTGCAGAAACTATTTGATGTTGCAGTGATACTAACAATTGTTCATACTTATTGTAACTTTTATGTAAATGTATCATTTGTAAGGATTTTGCAATAAATAAAACATTAAATCTCATATTGTTTAAAAATAATAAAAACGAATTCAATTATGATTTATTTCCAAGCACAGAGATATCATTATTAGAATTCCTTCTATTCTCGTATTAAGTTTAAAATTTTTTTCTCTGTAGGTGAATCCGATACAGATGAAGAAACGGACAGACTCCTACACAAACAGTACCAGCGACGTGACCAATATGTGGAAATTCCTGAACTTACAGAACCATCATCAAATAGGAAAGCTCAAGTAAGTCTGTCAAAATAACCAAAAGGACGGAAAAGAACATGAAGCTTGTTAATAGGCAGTAATCCTGTTTTTTGTAGAAAACAGATAATAAATATTAAATTGTTTTCTTAAAGTAAAAAGGGATTGTTTTTTAAGTCAGTCATTTGGAGCTTTTCGTAAACTTAATCGGATATAATTGTCTGGCTTCAGTATAAATCAATTGTTGTAAATATAGACAACGACCACACCGTAAATTGGAAGTTTTCAATGTCGGGCATGGGCTTAAAACATGGGCTTAAAACAATCCTGGGTTTTCAGGACTACTATTATGTGAAACCTTACAGCCATCTATACAGAAATCCTAATTCACAACAATTTAAAAATCTTTTAAAAGCAGAAGGAAAATACAACTATTATTTCTATCATTAGTGACAGCGAGATCGTTGAAGGTATATAAAATTCATGTTAGCCAAAAGTTGCCTCGCAGGACAGTACAGTTAACAAAATCACATGAAATGGCTGTTGCATGGGTTCCACGTCGGCCGTATATGCCGGTCGAGACCTACGGCTATGGAAAATGACCGTCCTTAGATGTGACCTAACGGTCATTTTGCCCGCCGGAAAGAGAGTCTTTTTTTAAAAAAAAAAATTTCAAACATGACCATGATCAACCTTCACTGTGTACTTTACAAGAATGCACGTCGTCTAGAAGCCAATCTTGTGATTGGTGTTATAGAGTTGTATATATGTAGTCAACAGATTATACTGAGTGTTGTGTTGATAATTAATGATGCGTGTCTGGTAGTAGAGCAATAAATGTTAATTGATAAGTGGGAATCTAATCAACGGCGTGAAGCGGCCCATTGTTAATCATTCACGTATTGTCCACGTGTCATAAGAATTTTCAACAACAAAGCCGCTATTACGGTCAGGCACAATGTAAACGAGGTTATTATGATCTTCGAAAAAGGGCAATTGATATGAAGTAATGCTCTTCAAATCCAACCAACTGTCATATCAAATAAAAACAGCATAGAAATTACGTAAATCCTCAACAACGTACGTGTTGGAAGAAAAATGCATTTAAAAATAAAATGTTTATAGCGGTATTACGGCCTTGTGGTAATTGTTGAAATAAAATCTAGAGATTACCGGTAGTTAACTTGCTTACTGAACAATAACAAAAAATACGTATTCCAGTTCTATTGTGCAGCAATATTGATAATTCCACGTGTAGAAGAAATGTCGTGTATATACGGTTACTCTTATACACGACCATATTCTAGGGGGCGCTAGTGTCGCTAGCCGTGAAGTTAGTTATCCGTTAGTAATTTAGTTATACATTATTAGGATTTACGTCACAATTCTGCGGCCCGTAATTCCGTAAGAGATGGTCTAAAACCAAAAAAATGTGAGATATATGCCATGGATAATTATATATTTATCTTCATTTCAAAGTTATTGTATTACAACTCAAAATTATCCGGTCAGTGTGTTTTCTATAGAGCACGTGTTAATTACGTGTGAGCTACTGAAATGGTTTTTCTCCGGCCAATTCAACTATTTCGTTATTTAAGTAGCCAAAACGGAATATTTAATTATTAAATAATTATCATGGGCCTTACTAATAGTTCATTTTTAAGTAAAATATATTTTTTTGTGCACCCCATGGTGACAAAGTAGTATAGACACGTGAATTCATAATACCCTACCATGAATAAAAATCATGAAATATAAATTTACTTTGAAAAGTTTTCGTGCGTTATCAAAAATGACCGGCAGTGAAAATTTTGAAGTGGAAGCCCTGGGCTGTTGGTATCTTTAAATATGTTTATGAGATTCTCTAAACTTATATTTAATGTGGTCTAGAACTGAGTGGTCTAGAACATGCAGTTTAAATCATAAGGTCTGTGATGGAGTCAAGTGGCATTGGCTTGATCCCAAGCCTACCCATTTCTCTAGGTCCTGTGGTTTCCTCCCACTGCTTAAGACCTCTACGCACAAGAGAATTATGAAAATAAAAATTGTTCCATATTCTGTTGAGTGGACTTCTATTTCTCTCTCAATATATTTAATTAACATTTTCTTGGTTTTTTTTTCAGGCTGAGCTTCGTCGATCAAGAGCCAAAGAAGGTGAGCCTGAATCATGTAAGCTAACAAATTTATACTAATATAATCTTGGTGTTGTAGATCTAGTAATATTTATGTATCTACTAGGTGAGTAAAACAAGTATACGCTATCCAGGGGGTCTGTATCCCATCTCCTGTGTTATCTCCTCTTAGTGGCAGAAACAACCCATCTGCTTATCATGCAAATACAGATAACATTTAAAACCGCTGTAACAAATTTTTACTAACAATAGAACTTTCTGATAATAAAGTTAAAATTCTGAATGAATTTCTGTTATGCTCTTGATTATAACCAAATATTATGCACAGGTCTAGGGTAGCATTTAAAGAAAGGGATATGTTTATATGTGTGTTTATTTCATCAAATCTTGGATATGGTCCTTTTTTTACTCAACTTGAGATAACTCTCTTGTGCTGTTTATTTGTCACTATTCTACGTCTGTTATTTGATGGATTTTAGTTTTATTTTGAGTTATCTCCCTTTAGTCTTCAGATTTTCTTCATCTTGTGTACAGTTGTTTCTTTTCTTTAGTTTATGGTTTGTTTGTTTTTGTTTTCACTTCTTGCCTTTTATTTTGGCTGGATTAATTTGAAATTTTGAAGAAAGAAAATTAATTATATGAAAACCTTATTCCTGTATTCATAAAGTACAATAATATTTTCATGTACATCATGGAGAGCGCTAGATCGGAGATGGTCCTGCTGATATGACGTTATTTGTGGATTGTGCGTTAGGGTAAGGGTTAGGCTTTGCCCAGGGTTAGGGTTAGGGTTAGCGCTAGCCCTGTTTCATCTCGAGACTTTGACGAAATCTGCAGGTCCTAACCCTTACCCTAACCAAAACCCACAATCCACATTTGGCGTCATATGTGCTAAACTATGCATGACTGTTGCCGATCTAGCGTTTTCCGTACATCATTGCAGTAAATGTTGTTTTTATTATTATTCTCTTGAGTTCCATTAATTCTGCTTTTCAAAAACACAACTTACACAATTTCCATAAATAAATACATTTAATTGCATATGATTTTCTGGATCTAAATAATCTTTAGTTGGACTCTTTATATATTTGGCCCCTTTCTCTGTATTTATTGTTCATATTTCGGTGTTGCTCATGAATCAATTCTAGCTTCAGTTTATTTTTAGTTTTTTTCGATATTTATTGTCTTAAAATAAATGATATTTGCATGATATTGCATGGTGAATAAATGAGGATGTATTTTAAAAACTGTTTTTATATTCAATGTTTATAATGGGCTGTAAATGAATATGATTTGTTTATTAATCAGTTTAATTAGATGATCTAATTGTGATAATGTTTAATGTTTTTGTCTTCGTTTAAAAAAAATGTTTAAAGCTTAAGTTATTTTTGTCATGGTTGAAAACATGTGAATAATGGATATTGTTGTTTTCATTATGTCTTGTGCTTCAATTTATTTTTAGATGAAATATATATTATTTCAGTTAGTTCATTGTTTTTTTTTATATATTATATATTAATTAACATTAGAAAAATGATTGTTATGTCTTGTTTTTGAAATGAACACTCACGCTAAATTATTGTTACATTTTTCCCACCATGACCTGCATGGAATCTTCCTTTGCCCTTGACTACTAACAACATGTATGAATGGTAAGTCGGTTCAGTTTAGTCCTGAAAATTTTTTTAACTTGTAACCTTTGACCCCCTTTTGGGCTTTGTTGATTTTCCTCTTTATTTCCCTGAAGCGCACCTCTTGACTGATTGACAAGCTGTTGTAGAGCTTTTAGCTCCCCATACACTGATGAGATGCTAAATGTTTTTTTTATGTTTTTTATTCTGTGTGGTGGAGGTGTTTTATATCAGAATATAGTAAATTTGTATTATGGTTGGGTTATTGTTAAATGTTGCAGATATTTTATTTGAAAAATAGAGCTCAATGCATTCTTCATAACTTTGAAATAAACCTGGTGGTGGATGATAAATAGTAGCTTGACATGTAATATACACCCACACATTTCACTCATGTTTGTAGAGTAGAGACACTTTCAAATTTTAAAATCAACTTTCTGATTACTACATGGACTAAAAGAGTAGTTTATCTATTTCTCAACTGGGCAAAGACAGCTGTCTAGTCGTTCAGATGGTACGAAAAAGCGAGGTCCTGTGTACACATTGTCGTGCACATAAAAAATCCCTTGACAATTCGAATTCGATATTAGAGTAGGCCTTAGTGCCACGGTTGAGGCAAAATTTCCCCTCATACCACACTGTATTTGGCGTTATGCTCGTCTTCATTAGCCCAGTTCGGAGCAGAACAGTAGGACATTAAACCCCATTTCATTTCATTTCTCAACTGGGATTTGTGCTCTTGATGATCTTTACACAGTGTTAGTTTCCGTTTTCCTTGAATAAACCCTGATTCTACTTGTCCCTTTGTTCAAGCTGTAACTGACTTTAACATATTTTAGTCAACATGTACATCAGAACGATGTTCATATTTGGGGAGGGGGGCAGTCAGCATAGGAAGCCAAATTTCTGTCTAATCAACATGTCTACATATAATTAAATCAATGTCCATCTCAACTATTGTGTCATAGATAAAGATCCATTATCCCTTATTCCAGTTTAGTTATAATCATAATTGATTACTGTAGGGAACATTGCAGGGAGAAATTGTGTAGCACGAAATAAAAAAACATGCAGAAAATTACACTGTAACCCGGGTATCATTTAATCTTGTGTATTTAGCACTAATATCTTTCACATTCATTCAATATCAAATCTTTGTTTAAAGATTTGTAAAAATCATTTAAAATCACCTCAAATCATCTAATGTTTACTAGAGTCCAGTTTAAAGCTGACTAATTAATTTTGATAATGAGTGTCCAATTTACAACTTTTTAATTTCCTGACCACTGTTCAAAAATTAATCATTATACATCAATAATCAATTGGGTTGTTTATTTTTTAACAGTGATCGAGAAATTAAATACTTGTAAATTTGACACTCATTATCAAATTTTTAAACAAAGATTCAATATTAAACGAATGTGAAAGAAATCAGTGCTAAATACACAAGATTAAATGATACCTGGTTACAGTGTTATGTAATGACATAAACAATTCTAATCTATCAAATTACAAAACTTTATCTTGATAATAAATCTTAAATGATAGAATGCATCTATTTGTCCTAGTATGTTCCGACTAATAGATAGTGCCGGTAGTCTTTATTAGTCTATTTTATTCCTGAAGCTGAGGTAAATTTACCGGTAACCCATTATAATGTTGGTAGCTTTTTCTAGACATGTAATACAACTGTAAGTTTTACATTCTTCCAAATTGTTTTGTGGTAAGTACTGTAATCCAGACAATAATAGAAAGTAAGCAAATCTATAGATTAATACTCATCATGGCCAAGGTAGTGTATGCTCTTTCTAGAACATCCAATACCATTTTAACCCATTGAGCCCTGATCTCCCATTCCACCTTGCTGCCCTAACGTGATCTCTCAGAGCTGGGTAATTTGGTTAATTTCTGGTTTCCTGTCACTTCTTCTTCAGAGTAAACCCACTTTCTTTGTTAATATCACATGCTATCATTGTGATGAATGTAAGTATGGCTGTTCCTGAATTGTGACATCTATAGGTGTGTATAGTAGTGCTGGCATCATATTTCTTGATATGCGATTCACCATAGCCACTGTCACTCTTAAGTTCCACTGATATTAAAATACAAATATTTATACATCCAGTATGGGTTTTCTTGTTAAATTTTTGTGATCTCAATATATATCACGATTCATATTGTGACGCATATTGTGATACATATTGTATTCTAACTATAATCACAGTACCCAGCACTAGCGTATAGGATTTTAGAAAAAGTTTTGATTTAAGAATTGTCCAGATTTATGTTGGTTGCTGTTCAAACTCGTGAACAATAACATTATGGGGGATTTTAAGGGTTTATGGAAGAAGAAACCTTTACAGGTAGCCTTAATAAAACTTTGTTTTTCAGTCCTGATGTTCTAGGTTTTTTGTTTAAATGGCTAGATTGACCTCTAAAAGTACAGCCAAGAAATAATTAAATTATGTCAAATGTTAATCGTGCCAGACCTGTTGTGTACAGATTTGCAATTGTGATTTTGTGTATTGAATGTTGCATGTACTTTGGATTGATTGCTTAATTTAATTTTATTCTTTTTTTATCTTGATGATATTATTTATGTTTGCTTCTTGATATTTGATCAAGATAGAAAAATTTAAATCAAAAAAGTAGGCCTACATTGAAATTTTCCTTTTCTGTTATAAATACAGCATTAGTTCACAATTTGAAATAAAGAAATTTACTATTTGTATCATGAATTGAAACCAGTTAAAATGTTTAAAATTGATTTTAACTTTATCAATTTGTTTAATTTGGTTAATTTTTCTAATGATTCCAAACCAGATAGTTGCTCAACACTGGAAGTAAATATAGTTTTAAGGTAATAATTTAAGACTAAGAGATAATTTCCAATACTCTTTCATCTATTTTTGTAGCACAAATTCGAAATCCTGATAACCCTGAAGTCTTAATTGAGGGAGTGTTATTCCGGGCACGGTATCTTGGATCAACACAATTAATATCTGAAGGACAACCATCTAAAGCTTTAAGAATGATGCAAGCACAAGAAGCTGTTGGTAGAATAAAGGTAAACACAAATAATATAAAATGTCCATCTCTCATTTTTGATGATCAATTAATAAAATTTATTTCCAGAATGAAATGGTCAACATGTATTTAACAGAGATAGAATATATTGCAATACTAATATATTAATAAACTATAACACATACTTATGGAAGAACAATTACTGATTTATTTGGGCGACGTTTCGAAGAGTATTCTCTCAACGTTTTCAATTGAGAGAATACTCTTCGAAACGTCGCCCAAATAAATCAGTAATTGTTCTTCCATAAGTATGTGTTATAGTTTATTGCTCTATCCAGTTACTAAATGCCTCTAAAAGATCACTAATATATTAATTGACATAAAGCTCTAGCTCAGTATTCTCTATGTATTTCGTTCATTTTAGATTTCAAGGAACGGAGATTTAGCTCCTTTAATATAAATTAAATTAAAAATGTCCTGTTATTGGGTCTACTACTCTACAGTAGAGAATTGTAATTTTTTTAAAGAGTGGAATTATTTGGAAACCTGATAAGTGTTTGGATTTTAAGAGTAGGATTATCTTGAAATCCAATGTGTTGATCTTCCATCAAAACATAGGCAAATATTGTACAGGTCCAAAAGACCTTCAGTGTTTACTTCGGCCTTAGGACCTCTGCTAGTACGTACATGAAGACCACACCACACACAAATAAAACACATGGCATTAGACAAACCTGCAGGCAATGGGACAAAGCAAATTACACCAACATTTCAAACAATAAACATGTATATATATATCAAATTAAGTGAATTGATACTTATACCTAACCTGCTGATTACTTTGAAATTCAAAAAAATATGTTTAGAACTGTAAAATAAATTGGTTCAACACCTCCAAAACCTCTCCAGTTATTGGTAGCCTATAAATTGACAGGGGTTCTGATTTTTTGACCAAGTTTAAATTTCAGTGAGATTACGTAAAAGATAAATTTTATGGCTTGCTGATCTATAGGTCATCATGACAGAAACAGTTAAACTCTGTTACTCCTTCAGAATTAATCATCATCATACTTAAATAGATTCCAGGTTTCAAAGGAAGTCAACAAAAGTTATTAAAATCACACTGCAAACAATGTTTCATTATGGGTTAGACTTTAAGGGCTTCTTTATACAGATTCAGTTTAGCACTTTTCATGTTAGTTTGTGTTAACACTGTTTTATTTTTTATCTGCCTAACAGGCCTTTGTCATCACTTCTGTCTGTTGTCCGCCCAGCGTTAACAATTAGACTAAATCATTTCATTGATTTTTATACGCCCACATAGAAATGTGGTTGTATATATACAGTCACCCCTGTCCATCCATCTGTTCATTGTCGACAATTGCTTGTGAACACTCTAATTTGTCATCTGATTGTTTTGAAATTGATATGTTGTTTACATCAGTGAGATGAAGAAGCCTATTTAATTTAGATAATTCCTGTGAATACTCTAACGACCAAAATTATTATCCGATCTGTATGAAATTTATATGCATCATTTAAATTAGTGAAACGAAGAAGCCTGTTGAATTATTATGGTTATTTTTATCACTAACTTTTAGAATGTGGAGAGCGCTATATAAAAATAAATTATTATTAGTATTACAATCAACTATCCAGACCATCGGATGGTCATGATTTTAAGTGGATTGAAACATGGTCGCCATTTAATAATTTGATTCGAAAATGGATAATCAAGACATTATTATCGTAACAATGGTACTTGACAATCGAGATTATATTCTTCAATATATTCAATTTTCATTATCTATATTTAAACTAGCAAGAACTGCGAGCTCTTAGTCTTAATCTAAAACTTACATCATGCGTCGTTTTCAAACTGTAACCCATTTCAATTTTCATTAATGTCATGACTTATTTTTATTTGTGACAATTTTTAGAGGTGATTGCCTTAAAATCATAATGACATGCTGTGTCAAATTATCTAGGATTTTTTTTTTTTTTGCTCAGAAATAAAAATTTAGCCATTTTAAATTCCTTATGATGTAATCTGCACAGGACAAAATTCTTTGGAATATATATAATTACTTTGACGTTTTGACTAGACTTCTCTTGTCTTTATCAAGCAATAATCAACAGTAATTGTATGCCATAGAATTGTGTCCTGAGTATTCCCACTTCAATTCCTAAATGCAATTAAAATCAATAAATAGAAACTAGCATGAAAGCCTGCTTTCTCTCTGTCTGGCATTGTTCAGATGTTGCTGAAAAAGTATGTTAATTTATAGCTTTTTGAAATGAAGTTCCAAAATGTTCATATGAATAAAACAATTATTAACAATATTAGCTAATCCTAATGATGTCACATTATAAAAAATGTTCATTGTGCAGTAAATTTTGCGATTTTTGGACATCAAAACAAAAGGGCTGGAACTGTAAGCGGAATAATTGAAATTGTGTTAGAGGGGATTGTTTTAAATATTCAGTACAAGTTGATGTATTATATACATTTAGTGAAACATCTTATTAAATTACCTGCCAGAAAGCAACCGTTACTTTTCTGTAACTATGATGAATAGCAGCCATTACATAGAAATGGTGCATTTTGACATGTAATTTCACACGAATGTTAGTTTTCCTCCAGCTACAATTGAGTTTACAGTAATTGTTTCTGCAATCTATCAAAGTTTGAGTGTACTGAGGTAGTTCTGGTATGAAATTTACTGGAGTTTTTGAACCCAGGTTTAAAAGTGTGTAATCGGACAATCTGATTAAAACACAGATCCTTTTTTTTTTTTTTTTTTATAGTTCAAAATTTCGTTTAATTTGTCTACTACAGTTGGATATGAAAGAGTTGTTAAATAAGCCATGTTCTGTTGGGTTGGGTCAAATTCTTATCGTCTGGCACATGGAACTGTGGGTAGACATTCGCAACAATGGAAAATAAATGAAAGCAAAAGTTATGTTTCCGAATATCCACTTAAAACACCGAAAGCGTCCGAAGCTGATTGGTTAATCAAATGACTGACAACATAATGTCAACAAATGCTTGTATGACCCTTGACAGGACCTCCCACTACAACCCGTCAGATCTTCATGTAGTGGAGGCCATCGAAAGCATAAAAATGGAAAGAAATATAGACTGTAATATAATCAGATTTGTAAGCAAATAATCCTGGCTGCCTGGCTGGCTAAAAATCATTTTTAGCTACAATCTATGATCAAATCTTAAAGATTTAAGCCTTAAAATATTACATTTTTGATTTAGTGATTGAGATGTCAATATTCCCCCCTCCCCCCACCCAAAAATAATTATAGATTTCATAATGCAGTTGACTGCAGTTTTACAAACCTTTATCAAAATTTCTGAAACAATAAAAAAAAGAAAATTCCATCAATAACCACCACCCACAAACATGTCTGAAAACAGAACAAGTTTCTGAGATATATTCTTGAAGACAGATGCTTGTCAATGCAGGGTTCAGCTTAGAAAAATATAGAAAAGCAAATTATTTTAAAAACTTGAATTTAAGTATTGATTATGAAAAATATATAGGTTGCCTGATAGGTAACAACCACTTATTGATTTCTAATGGTGAACTTAAAATATGTTTATGTTTTAAGTGAAAAATAAAATTTGCTAAAATTGTATCATCTAATATTTGCTTGTTATATTTATTCCCTTCATTTAACAGCTGTATGACACCTAATATCCTTGCTGACTGGAATATTGAAATTCTGTTTGAAGATTGTGATCCATAAACTAGTGATCTTTATGAATTGATATTCAAGAAGCCAAAACAGAATATTGAAATTGATCTAGATTACATACAGATCGCAAGTCTTATTGAATATCAAAATTAATAAGTTCGCCTATCCGTGCAGTAAAGTTGTCATGTTTTGTCTTGATAATCAAATGACAAGCGCTGCATATTACTAAAGACGGTGAATTAAACAATATGTGTATAATTTCTGTTACGTTATCCATAATATGTAGAATCTGTAAGAAATAGTCCTCAGATTCTGATAATTTTCAACTTTTATTATAAGTAGTCCTAGTTATCAAGATATCATATATCTGGATGTACAAATGATTTAGCTCAGGTTTACTGGATGTACATACACGAAGTAAATGACATGGTACATAATTGAAGAGGAGTATGATTTGCCATGCAATAATAAAAATCCACATTTTTTCCATTTAGCACAGAGTTAAACACATACTTGAGTGACTAGGGAACTGGACTCTCAACTAGAATGTCTTAGCATGGAATTCTGGTGTAGGCCAAGAATAACCATGAGGAATTTTCTAGTTTGGTTCCTACTGGTCAATTTGAATTCAAAGAAATGTAAACATAATGCCCACTGTCTTCTCTTTAGCATTGTGTATGTGACAATATTAACCATGTTATTCTCAAAATTACAAAAGCAGTCCAGTTTAGACATGTGTACACAAATTTATATAGCTCAGAAACTTACTTTAAATTTCTGATTTGACCAAGAATGATTGTTCAGTATTTCCCAACTGTTGGTTTTCAATAATTCATATCCTTTATCTTCATTTATTTGATTATCTAAATATAATCGTCATCAACAATTCAAAGTCAAAATTTTTCATCCGAGAGCCACAAACACATCACCAGTTGATCAGTCCACATATAAGAGTTGTTTGCCTTGTGGTGAAAATATGTCGTCGGATTGTAAATGAAAGTTATATTTAAATCATTGATGAGTTTTGCAAAATATTAATAACTGCAAAAAACCCCATTTCTTTCCATCTGAAGAGCCCCAGGAAAGAATGATCTAAGCCACTTTTTCAACAAACCCCAGTTAATGGCACCATCTGGTAGCAAATTCTGTAAGCTTTCTGTGGAACAATCAATTTCGGGTAAAAATGATTGGAGTCACATCGAACCAAGGCCCTTCTGAAATGGCCTCCCGGACAAATACCCCCATCGTACCCTTTTTTTGACCTTAATTTGGCTGAAAAGTGGATGTCAGTTGTTGTACTGGTAATTATGATTCGTATTAAACATCATTTTGAAGTTGTAATTAAAACCACTCGTTCTGTTCGCGTCAAGCATTCTCGTCCAAAAGTCTGTTTTGCCTTTTATGTGAAAAGACAAAAATGTGACTTAGATCGTTCTTCCCCTGGACTCTTCATTTATATTCCTTCAAGTTCAAAACATACCCAAGATGATTGATGACTGTCTCACTAATAGATTAAATATTCTTCGGTCTATAACTGTAACAAACATGACACACTTACTAATCTATTATTAATGTTTTGTGCATTCTATCGTGTAGGCGTCGGTAAGTGTTGATGGTATCTGTTGTCAGTATAGTACCGTCTGCATGTTTTATCTGTCTGCCATGTGTTTAGTAAGAAACACACCTATCTGTACTTAAAACTTTTTTTTTTGCAAGAAAATAATTAAGTTTAATATGTGTACAGTAATTTAATAGATATTTCTTCCTCTTGTTGCTTCTTGCACCATTTCATTTAATTATATTGCACTTTCATGTAGTAAGGAGTTTTTATTTGTTCCTTATGTTGTATGTATATATGTCAGTTTTATACACCCAGTGTGGGTGTATTATTTAATGTCTAGTATTATCTGTTCTCTATTTGTTTGTCTTCACACAAATTAGAATTAACCTGGAACGCATCCTGTATTTTCAAGAGCATTATGCAAGAGCTAAATTTGCTAATTGTAAGGTGTTTTTCTGACTTCAGATCTGATATAAATCATTGTTTAGACATTTATTTTAATTACAAGCCCATGATGAACTCTCGAGAGCATTGGATGGTTCAGATATTGAATGGATTAGACAATTTCTGTCATATCTGCATTAAACGTTTATATTATATAGCCAGAGACTACCAATAAGGGCTGACAATCAAGAATTATAATGGAAATGATACTTGGAAAGTTAAAGAATAAACTGAGTAGAGTTTCCATCTGCCAATGATTGGCAATTGATGGTTATTTCATGCCAGAACATCAAACATTTAATATATTTATTTTTCGTTATTGATTTTTTTAACTATTATAGCAAGAACAGACAACTTTTTCTCTAAATCCAGCTTAATGTATCATTAATCATGATTGTGAAATAGGATGTTCTCAAGCCCCATGTCAAAACAATTAAAAACTACAATGAAGTCATGTGAATTCAAAATGTTTTGTATATTTGTGCCGAATGTGTTATGTTATGTTTTACGTTCCACAGAATCTTGTTTTAATGGCAGAGTCATATTGATGTGTTAATTCTAGTACCTGATGAATTAAAATTAGTTAAAAACAAAAACTGTGTAGTATGCTCTATTACCAGTAGAACTCCTCGGTTGTTGGACTGGACACGCATATGTATAAGTTATATAAACACTATATTTTAACACCGATTTCAGTAAATGTCCATATTGATAGTGCATTCTTTTAACACCGACTTCAGTAAATGTCCATATTGATTGTGCATTCCCTAGTGGATTGAATAGTTGCGCGATACAAACATCATTATTATTATTATTATTTGTATAATACTTGGAATTGGATTGAATATTAAAGGCAACTCGTATGAGACGGTTTGGGTGGTTATTTTTGCAGTAGATTATAAGGTCTGTCATCCTTGCCATGTGTCATGGTTTCAATCCCCTGCTTTCACATGATTAGGAATAGGATTGCCGGCCAAACCACATAAATTTTATGTGAATTATTAAAATAAAGACATACAGTATGTTAGTCCTGAAGTGGGGTTGGGTGGTCTGGTGGATTAACGTCTGCACCTGAAATCATTAGGTCTGTCATTGAGTCAGGTGGTGTGGTTTCGATTCGCAGTTTGTAAGTGACAAGGAATAGGATCACCTGCCCAACTTTATGGGTTTTCTCCGGGTCCTCCCACTTCTAAAGACCCCATTTGCACAAGCGAATTATTGAAATAAAATTGAACCATATGTTAGTCCCTAAAAGACATAGCTTGTGTTAAGTGAATGTTAAACCCCATTTCTCTTTCTCTCCCTGTTAGTCCGGAAATGCCCTAGTTTGTGAAAATTTGATGTTAAATCCCATTTATCTCTCTTGTTTAACGGAAGTATGCATTTTGTCCATGATAACATATTTCAGATTTCTTGTAAACGTCTTGTTCAGAAGTCATTTTTTGTTTTTCTTACTCAATATCAAAAAATGTCCTGTCTTCATTGTTCTAGATGGTATAAAACAGTTTGTTAAACCCCATTTAATTCAGTCGGTAAAAAAATGTAATATAGTAATCATCCAGGCTCTAAATATGTTATGCCGCTGTCATTTGGTGTGTGCTCTGTTCCAGTGTTATAGATTCATGAATATTAACTAGCGAATTATTTGTGTCATTCGATCGTGTCTAACCCGAGGTTACATCTTATCGTTATGTACTATAGTATCAGTTGGACAGTCGCACTCATTATTGCTACTCGGTGCTAAAGTCGCTATAGAATTGCTCTGTTATAATGCCAATAAGGGAGTCTCAAGTCCCGAATCATAATGTTCAAAACATCTATGGAAATTACTCTCCCAAAATCATTTATGACACTTAAATTACTTTTGATGGTTTCTGGCAAGATTCTGATCAAAGTTATTATTTCCAGGATTGCGTGTTTAGAAAGTTTAATAAAATCTTCCACACGATCATCTCTAGGGATTTTTTATTTTATAAAGAGCACTTGACTCTGCATGCTTTAATATTGGATGTTTGTATTTTCTGTTAGAGATATTAGTATAGACAATATGTCATCTGTACATCATTTTATTAAAGTCTTACTTCTTATTTTTACACAAAGCATGTTCAAATTTATTATTTTCAAAATGTAAATTAATGCATTGATTGATAAATGAAGAGAATGATTAATTATCATGCATACCTATTTAGTAAAGACTGTTAATTGATCGAATCATAGAAAAACCACAACCATTCCATGAATGTTGTAAAATATTCCAATTACCAGTAGTTTATTGTATTTTAAGTTTTAATAATTATTTCTGTAGTATAATTTGATTGTTTTTCTGCATTTTGCCATCAGTAATTAAAAAATATATATGCATCACTTTCAGACGTTGGGCACATTACATTTTGGTGACAAATTTCAGGTACATCACTTTACCAATTTAGAGATATTAGGACATGTGTGGATACATTTATTGTGTGCCAGTTTTGTATTGCAATCAGAATCTGCTTTTCATTTTAGTTTGTCAATCAACTCAAAGCTGGTTCACCGAAGTATTGACCTAAGCAATTGTTACATTTTTTGGGATGGTTATCTCCTTGCCAACAACAATATTGTGATTGTTGAGTCTTTAAAAGGAATATCAGTTCAAAAATGGTTCAATTCCATTTATTATTTTAAATTATTATTAACATTCGGCATTCCTCTGCAGACGATAAAAATGGGATACGTAAATGAATGTTTTGGTTTAGCGCCTTTTTGTCTATAAGCCTTTCAGACAAGCTGTTACCATCTGAACCTATTGAATTAAGCCATAGAAAATTTGTATTTTTTTTTTTTTCAAACAATGCAAATGACGATCAGCGGCTTTAATGTTTTATTTTTGTTTTGAAGAATTATGTTGGTTAAATGCATATCAATTGATATTAATGAGAACCTGTGGGTATAAATTCTACCTCCGGGAGAGAACCGGGGATGAACAAAAGTCTTCTTTTCATTCAGAAGTATAGTAGATCTAGAAAAAGAAGCATGTTGTTACGTTAAGTTATGAAATGAAATTAAATGTGGTTTAATATCCTACTGTTCTGCTCCGAATGTGGTCTTGTTCCATATTTTTACATATAAACTCATTAAATGGAAATATACATTTTCTTTGTAATTTAGATGCAGCAGATGTCACTGTGGATTTAATAAGAATATATTATTGTTTGATTACAGGCACCAGAAGGTGAAAATCAACCTAGTACAGATGTAGATCTATTTGTATCAACAGAGAAATTAATGGTATTAAATACAGATTTACAGGTTGGTATACAAACAATCAATAATATTATATGACCTCTGACCTCTTAATACATTCTACAACAGATGTCTCTTATTTCACATCTTAATACATTCGCAAACTATAAATTAACCCCTTAATCAGTATTTTTGAAATATATCCATGTACTCTTAAATCATAAGGGGTTTGGTGGTCTAATGTGTTTACTTTAGATCGTAAGGTCTGTGATTGAGTCCAGTGGCATGCTGTCGATTCCCAGCTTGTGACAAGGAAAAGGTTTGCCTTTCCGACCTCATGGATTTTCTCTTTGTCCTCCGGTTTCTTCCCACTGTTAACGACCCCTACGCGCTAGTGAATTATTGAAATAACATAAAACCATATGTTAGTCCCAAAATGACTTAGCTTGTGTTGAATGGACGTTAAAGCATTTTTTCTCCCTCTTAAAATATACGTGCAAAACATGGACAAAGCTAGACTAACAAAATAGTGGAAGAGCTTGTTTTGTTTGATTCTAATTTTGATTGACCTAAGCTACTTGTTTATCAATTCTCAGATCTCTCTGAAGTTTAATTTTAGCCATTGTGATTAGTAAAAATCATTCTTGCCTAAGTCACAGCAATTGTTCATTAGATGAAAGCCAAAAGGTAAATTTGGGTCTATAGAATACAAATTTCATAGTTATGTTGCTATACCTTACTACTAGCCCATTGTAATTATAAACCACAAAGAACAAAACAAAAGTAAAGTCTTTACCTCAGCTGATACTTGCTTTCAGTGGAATTCTCCAATTGCTCATAATGGGGTTTAGCGCCCTACTGTTCCGCACGGACAGCACATTTCTGATAACCCAAACAGCGAAAGTTATCATCTGATTACCTTTGCATGTTTTGTTTATGTAAGCTCCCATTACCTAAAAGAAAATAAGAATGAGGAAAAGTTTATGAACTGTTCGGACGATATGTTCTGTTGCCTGGCAATCTTAACTTGGAGAAAGCTGATGAGACTGGAAATTGATCAAAAACAAATTCTTTTGGAGTGAGGTGTTTTAGTATTTTTTTAATTGATGTTTGATGGACGTTAGTGTTTTGGTAATGGCTATAAAAATGTTTGGATATTGTTTGTATTATGTCTGTGAAGAATAATGGTCAATGGTGATGATTTGGACTATGAATATTGACACAAACATCCTATTGTTTATTCTAGACACCACCACACAATGTCTGTAGAAGTATATTATCAATCAGACATCTTATTATATACACATCAAACTCTTTAGTTTCATTGTACTCAAAATTCCTGGCATATATAGTCAGTCACATGAATTTCCTCTTTAGTTTGATATGTACATTGGCAATAGGTATAACAGTCCTTCACATACAAATATTTTTAATAAAATACACAGTATATTGCTGAACATGCCTCATTATGATCAAGATTAAATTTCTGACTTATTTTTATACGCCAACACATAGTTTGGGCGTATGTAGTCATCACCCTATCCGTGAGTCAGTCTGTCTATACATCAAAAATTGGCATGTGAACACGATTGAGGTTACAGTTTTTAACAGATCTTTTTGCCAACAACCTTATGAGCGAAATAGGGACTGCAGTTTTTAATGGATTCTTTTCAAATTTGGTATGAAGCATTAATCAATTTCATCAATAAGTTATTATCCAATAATTATTCTCAGTTATAGCCCTTGATCATTTTGAAAATCTTCTGGAAGCTCTAGAGGATAGAGTTATCATCTGATTGCCCTTGTATATATACTGATACTGGGTTTGTTAATTTGTTGTTTAATGATCAATTTTCTTCAATTGGGTCATTACAAGTACTGGGTTTGTTAATTTGTTGTTTAATGATCAATTTTCTTCAATTGGGTCATTACAAGTACTTGTTGACTGCCAAGACCTTATAGACAGTATGTGGTCTTATGTTGTGTTTATGTCCAACACTCATTAATCTACAGTATTAAAATGGATATTTGTTATATAAAGAAACCATATTACATAAGTGTAAGATATCATGTAATTTACTGTGATTTATTGTATATTCAGGAGATAATGATGGACCATTCATTGCGTACTATAAGTTATATAGCTGATATTGGGGATGTATTGGTTTTGATGGCTAGAAGAAGACTTATAACCAGTCCTGGAGAAGGTCCAAACAGACGAAGGCAAGCCAAAATTCTCTGTCATGTGTTTGAATCCGAAGAGGTAAGTGACCATGCACAGTTAATGAATATTATAACGCATATTCTACATGATTACATCAGTCAGAGGATGACTCGAACATTTGTATTTAAACATACAGTACATAAGGTAATGTGATAATGTGATTAGTAGGAAAGAGTGATTATCATCTGTGATGTACTAAGGATCACATAAGATAATGTGATTAGTAGGAAAGAGTGATTATCATCTGTGATGTACTAAGGATCGCAATAATTGATTCTGATCTGAAATATGAGAAGCATTTATCACTTTATAAACACCTATTACTAAGTGTAGTTTAATGGTCGAATGTGAGACATTAAGTAATATATTGATATTGTATGAGTACGATAGCACAAGGGCAATATCTTTATATTACGCAATATCTTGCATGTGACCATTAAACAACTTAAATACAGATACTATCCAGCACGTGCATTTCAATGAAATACATCACACGCGTCCAATATTGCAACTAGTATAAATAATGTACACTTGGCACATTGCCCGTACCATTATTTGAAATAATGGTACGCCAACATCAAAGGATGAAGTCACATCTGTGTTTTAATTGTTGATAATGTTCAATGAATCATCAACAAAATCTATTCATTTCATTGAATAAACATAATAGATGAAAATTAGTTAATGAGAAGACTAAAGGTATTGTATAATGACTGTTTATCTTACAAGTATAAATTATAGATCAACTGGATATAATTTCTGAATACATATTTATTTCTCGAAAATTTGAATCCAGGCGATATACATGTACATTCTGCTTTTAGCTGTGCTGAGTGTCTGTTAATTCTCTCTTCTAAGATGTAAACTCATTATAACTGAATACAATAACAACCTTAAAGTAGCTAAGTCTCTAACTCAATATCATCCAAAATCTTCAACATTGAAAACACAAATTATTTAACAATTTAAATCAACATTGATGTTGTGATCTTACCGGGAAGAGATGGGCTTCTGATATCCAATATTTAAGACAAAATAAACATTTTACCATTGATACACGAATCGTGTACCATAATGCGTTTCAGCGTCATTTGTAAAACGGGACTTGAAAAACGAGGCTACGCATATTCCACAAGTCAAGTCAAACGGTGACTTATCTGGAGAGCATATGCAATAAATACTATCGGTGTAGACTGGAATAATCAGGCGCTAGAGATTGCCATTCAATTGAGACTTCTGGCGAATTTTGCCGAACATAAATGATTAGAAATTACAGTGAAAACATAAAAGATTGAATGTAAATCAGTTTATATACATTCATAACATATTACATTATTATATATATGCGTTGCGACCCGTTTGTATCAATTTCTTGGTCCCAAATATTAGCGATTTAGCCCCTTTAAATGAGAATATCCTCTTGTTGTTAATACTTGATTCTGTCAAATTCGTTGATTGGATTTTTATTTTAGTTGCCGGTTATGATTGATTGTCTTTGATGATTTATATCTATATAAATTTTGTAAAAGTTTTGCACAGTGTGGTTGGTTCAAAGCTAAAGCTAAAGTATTAAAACAATAAATCATAAAATAGGCTGGCATGCATTAAAAATGTACTAAAATTGTTATTACTTTAATGGCCATATTACAACTAATTTATTTTAGAATAAAAACTGAATTTTACTTTTTGTTCTGGTATGTTGGGACTGAATCTGTACTAATATTTGTGAATGTTGTTGTCTGTTTGTTTGTCTGTCTGTCTGTCTGTTCAAGATTTATCTGCTACACTAGGACTGACCCAAGGATGACATTTGCTGTATAGGGTTAGTTCGGCCCAGGGAGTAACATTGGCCTGATGGCATTTGACTACCACGTCCAGTTGCGGGGTTCTGCTATTTCCGGTTTATGGCTATACCCGTGCTATGCCGGGTCTACCGCTAGTTTTTAACATCTTCCTCTTTTATAAAAATAACAAATCAGTTTACCAGGATTATGTTTCTGCACTGAATAGTTCTCTTTCAAGACAAAAATGAATTAGTTTGAATTAAACTTATTTGATATCATCAATCAAATACTTGTGCCTGTAACATTAACACAAAGCTTTATTTTTCGATACATACTGAATTTGGTGTTCACTGTGAAGTGTGGAATTCCTCATTCAAATGATATTTTTGCAAAGATTTTAATGGCTATTCTGTTACAGCTTAAACATGCATTATACAAGAGCTAAATCTTCCTATTGCAGGTCTTTCTTTAGGCCTGAAATGTTATATAAACTAATAATTAGACATTTATTAATATGACAAGACCATATCAATTCTCTATGCCATCTGATGTGTCCGATTTTCAACAGATTTGAATCAGATCTGTGGTTCAACCAATCTGATTAAAACACAGATCCTATTTCGTTTCATTTTTGATAGTTCTAAATTTTGTTTTACTTGTCTTTACTACACTAGGATCTGGAAGAGTTGTTTTATTACCAGCTTTTTGGTTGAAGTGAGGGATAAGCCAATGAAACAGTCTGTTACGGCGCCTTCTTGGCGTGCCATGCACAGAACTGTGGGTAAACCACTAGAATTATCAATGCTGATTGATTAATCAATGTCTGACGTCACAGGATCAAAAGCCGCTCGTACGATCCTGGACACAACCTTCGAGAACAACTTGTCAGATTTTCATGTAGTGTAGGCCATCGAAAGTATACTGAGCGCCATGGAAAACACATCACTTAGTTTTTTGTATAACAAAATGATCCTGTAAACATACCTTATTTATTTTGCTTCTTATTGTGAACAATATTCAAAGGGGAACACATCATTAACAACACATTTGTACACTTATGGATGTTTAATCTGTAATCAACGGTACAAAGTCAGAGGGGTCAAAACCAAAAGTCAGTAGCGCATGTGTCCTCCACAGGCTCTTACGCACGCTGTGCAGCGACGTCGCATGGAATTTACCAATGTTTGAAAGAAGGCCTGGGACAAATTGTCCATTCTTGGACAAGAGCAGCTTCTAAAGCAGCAATGGTGTGCATCTGTGGTCTTCGATATAGACGGCGTCCAATCTCATCCCAGACATGTTCTATTGGTGCCATGTCCTGAGACATGGCTGGCCAGTCCAAGACATTGATGTTGTTAGCAGCCAGGTAGTCCATACTAAAACGGGCGGTATGCGGACGTGCATTATCCTGTTGGAAGTGCTGAAGTTGTGGGTGCGCTCAAAACATCGGAACAACAATTGGTTGCAAGAGATCATCACGGTAGGCTACAGCATTAACGCGACCCCTGCAAATGTGTAGGGCGGTCTGGTGATGAAATGTGAAACCTCCCCACACCATTACACTTCCCCCACCCCATCGATTCGTTTCAAAGATGCAGCAGTCTGCAAGACGTTCCCCAAGGCGTCTCCACACACGTTGACGGCCATCAGCGTGATAAAGATGAAAGCGACTCTCATCACTGAAGAGCTCACTTTGCCAGTCTACTCTTCTCCATGTCTGGTGTCCTTGAGCCCATATCAAAGGCCGCTGATGGTGAGGATAGCTCCAACTTAAGGTCGTTGTGCACGGAGTCCTACTTCTCTTAGACAACGTTTTACGGTGTTGGCACTTACTGGTCCTTGTCTTCCGACGACTGCTGCACCTGTTCGAGTCGCTGGGCGGTATCTGTCACGCAGATGAGTGACCCGGATGTAGCGGTCTTGAGTCTGGGTTGTAACGCGTTGTTGACCAGGACGTTGACGGTCACGTGTTGATCCAGTAACTCGAACACGTTCCACCAACCTTACAATAGTGGACTGATGACAATTGAAGTGTCTGGCAATAGCACATGTAGACATGCCAGCCATGGACATTCCCATGGCTTCATTCCGTTGATTTTCAGTAAGTCTCGGGATCTCTAGCTCGATTCCTTCACATGTCCAACAACAAATTACGACAGATTGACGTTTAACAGTTCATGTACTGCACATTAAGTTGAAAACATGCTTTTAAAGGGCTCACATACAATGCTGCACGTGAATATTGGGTTTTTCATGTGCATCTTATGCAATTTTTTTTTGTGCACAAGGGCCGATATTTTTTGCGTTTGGGAGCATTGTGTGAAACAATAGTTCATAGTATTGCATAATATTATACATACAAAACCACCTAGTAATAAAATATTTGGGAAAAAAAGTGATGCGTTTTCCATGGCGCTCAGTATATAAAAAAACGAAATTTAGATCTGTATTTTAATCAGATTGGTCCGATTTTCAACAGATTTGAATGAGGATTTCTCGGGTCATTCATTTTGCATTATCTATTTTTGAAATATTATAGCGATAACGGCCAGCTCTTTATCCAAATCTTACATAATGCCCTTTAATAACAAATTTGTGTTATTTGCAAATAAAAATAGTCTGAGAGTCATGTTCTGACGCAAATATAATCCTAAATAATTAAGCATCTCTACAACATTATGGAAATGATGTTATTTTAATATAGCTCTTCAGACATTTGTAGTCAAAAGCTAAAGAAAGTCCGAGATTAAAAATAGACATAAGAAACAATTGAATATTGTAACAAAAGAGTCTAGAAACCAGACACCAAAGCAGAAAATAGATGAAAAGCTAAAAAGCCAAAAAAAAAAAATTAATTAAATAACAAGATAGCATAGAAAATGAGATAGGATGGATGAATATTGTTATATTAGGATATGATCAGGTTGCCTGGCAACCATATACAGTAATTAAAGCTAAGCCATGGTAGGGCTGGAGTTAATGATCTGTAGTAACTAATCATTTCATAGCAGGGTAAAGTATAAAAAATTTGTGTCTTTCAATTAATTTCCTGTTAATTTGCTGTTCACTTGAATGATGCAACATAGTAGTCCACAAGTAATTTAGCAATTCTAACAGTTTAAGGCTCTGGTACTTGCAATATTCTTGAACAATTATCATGTCACGTACTGTACATGAGCATTATTCAAGAATTAGTGTTTTCAAACCTAGTTGAACAATGTGCATAGGTCGAGAGCCAGTGACACAAAACTGCCT